GACAAACAGTCAAACCTCGTTACATGTACTCGTATAATATATCACACGACCTACCTTGGGAAGAGCATAACGTTGACGGTACAGCGGGGCTGGCGATATAACGGGATAGCAACGATTGTCACCTTGACTAGTGGTAGATTGGAAAAGGCAAGACACTAGACTGGTCAGTCTTGCCTCATCTAGATACATATATGTTTTGCGCAATTGTCATGCCCACGGAAAAGTAAACAAGAAGCAGTCAGTTACCAGGTGATTAAAAAACCAAACCACAAAAACAATCAGCTGTACAACATTTTTTGGTTAATATTTTCCTCCACACTATAGTTTTGCGTTTCAAATTTGTACACAACATTTGGAAGTCAAAAGGAATTTGTGTGATATTCATTTTAGATAAATCCACAGAATAGTTCTACTCTACATAGCGCGTAAAATAAACCCAACCCCTTTTCATCTATGTCCCCATTTTTTGTAGAATGACACACACGTTTGCATTAGGTTTATCATTAAAAATCCAAACGATTGCGCCATATTACAAACTACTGTAGTCTAACAGGCCAAAAGAAGGTGGTAGGTTGTTTTTCTCAAGTTTTCTTTGCCTGCTGAGATCATGGTTAAGATAAGTAAAGAGCAGACAGCTATTAATTGTATTGAATATTTCCTCACCACCAGCTCATTTCGTAAATTTCGCACAGGTTACGGAAATAATGTTTAAGTGCCACTTAGGCCTTCTTTGACGTCAAGGGTGGAAATGGTCCATCAGTTAGTACCTGTAGAGAATCAGAACAAAAAATTCTCAGGTTAAACGACCACTACAGTTCAAACATACACAGTTCGCACCCTTTAAACGAGACCAAGGTGCAGAAATCAGTAGATGAGCCCCATGAGACGTATGTCCGTAGACGATGTCTGCAGCAACGACTTTCCTACATCTAAATGGTCCGCATTCTCAAGGCAGATCTTCATCTGCGACTGTACCATTATTGTCCCGTTCGCAAAGCTATCAGAGGATAGCAATGTATTAATGAATCCTCGATCGTCTTGAAAAGCGTGAACATTTCCTCTACGACATTAGGTTTCTTGGCAAATCCAATATTCACCTTTAAGATTATTGGTTCTCGGAATTCCAGAATTTAAAAATGTACTTTTTAAAAACTCTGTAGGAGAAAAGAAATATTGTTTAAAGGTTACAGGGGTGGCAAGATTAGTTTTTAGAAATAAAAGGAAAAAACGACAACAACAAACAAACAAATCAATATAATACATTTCATGACTTTCTTTACAAGATCTTTTAAATCGGTGCATTTTGCATTTGTATACAATTTTTATAAAAGCCATTTCCGTTTTTGAAGTATCTGTTCCAAATTAGAACAGTCTAGATCTAGTACAAATTTTGAGCCAGATGATATTTAGGAAAAATACAACAGCTTTTTTTTTGGGGGGGGGGGGGATCACCCTGTGCATGTAGATCTAGAGTTCCAGCGTAAATTGCAATTAAAGGAAACTAGGATCCGAAGATAGCCTGTAATATGTGTCAAGGACACCGTAGACCTTCTGTTTTTGTTTGTTTTTTAAACTGATACCCGTCAGATTTTGGGCTGTCTGGTCTTGTAGACTTGAGCGTGAGCTCTCACAATATAAAAGTCTTACAGTACGCTGACATCTGTCGACGCTAGCTATTTTGCGGGCAGGCCGAGGTGGTGCATTAGCTTTGACGTTTCTCCAGGCAACTTAAAAATTGCATTCCAATTTTTATCTAAATATTGGCCAAAGCCTTAAATTGATACAAATGTATAAGATGCAGACCTCACAAAGACTGCTCACAAACACTCGCTTTAAAGGTAATTGAAAAAATAAAGAAAAGGAAACAACAGAGTCATTGGAAAAAAGCATTGATCAACCCTTTTCAGTTTAGCACATTTATACAGACAAAATAAAACCCAACAACAACTGCATAACAAAGACATCCAGAAGAGCTATACGGAGCAGACTACCACTACCAGAAAAGGCCAAGTAAGCGAAACAGTTGACTGGTTGGAAAGTAGCATAGATCAGTTCTTTTCTGTTCAGCACCGTTATAACTTTTTAAAAAACGACAAAAAAACACACAAAACAAACAAATAAACAAACAACAACAACAACACACACACTCACACCCTCACACACACACACAAAGCATAACAAAGACACTTCCCTCTCGTGGCGTAGAGGTTAAGGTGTTCGCCTTTTATTCTATAGGTCCCGGGTTCGAATCTGGAAAGCGTCAGAAAATTTTCTTATCTAAAATATTCTCCTTTCACATCCTTTCTGCTCTCTAACAATGTTCTATCGTCTGCTTTCGTCTCCCCTTTCTGCCCCAACAACTCATCTCCTTTGCACTCCCCTCTGGGCTCCTGACTCTTTCTGCAGCCTTTCTACTATTACATGTACTACTCCTTGACTCCCTCTTACTGCGGTTTTTCAGCCACACGCCTGATCTTCTGGTAGGAAAGATCTAACCCTAGCCTTCTCGGACAAAGGCGAAAAATCTCGCAGATTTCGTGTGCTATTTGCCCACGTTAAAGATCCCTTGGTGGTCCAAAATTGATAAGAATAAGAGTAGAATCTAGGCTTCGGCAGCCACCAGAGCAAAATTCAAAATTTCTTACCATCTGAAAATGTTTAATGTGTCCGGCACGCTCATATGACCTTATGCAGTTGCGAGCGCTTTTAAACACTTTAGCCCCCCCACACACACACACGCACACACAAGAAAAACTCAATTCCTTCCCAAAAATGCAACTTCTCATGCACTGGCTTGAAGATATCGAATAAATCCCGCGAGCATTACATATAAATTTGTACAGTAATAATAAATTACCACCTCCCTTCCCCCAGAAATAGGACCAGGCACCCTCCACCACCCACGAGAAATATAGTGATAATGCATGTTGTATTTAATGTACATATTTCGGCTCATCAAGCTTGAAAAAGAACAATCACTCAAGGGGCATAAAACAATTTGTAATGAATTTTAGAAACACAATTGCTTCCCTTCGTGAGAATACTTTGATAACATTAATTAATACGAACATGTATACATACTTCTATTTCAAACATCTATGATTTCAAACCGTACGTTGCCTTTGTTGATGATAGCGTCGACACTAAAGGAGAGATCATTTACAATCATTACTTTTATAGAACAAAGAAAGCTAATCACTGTACAGACATGACAATTATCCCCTTTGTATTAGTAATGTTATAGTAGCGTGCTTTTCATTGCCATCGTTGATGACATAATGCCTTTGTCCATAGGGAGATAATTGAGAAGATGTTTTGGTAAATAAAAAAATAAAAACAATTGAAACAATAATAATGATGATGATGATGATGATGTTGATGTTGATGATGAAGATGCTGCTGCTGCTGCTGCTGCTGCTGCTGCTGCTGCTGCTGCTGCTGCTGCTGCTGATAATGATGATGATGATGATGATGATGATGATGATGATGATGATGATGTGGTGATAATTTTTGCTTCCGTAATAATAATAATAGGCCTGGTGGACTCCACGAAGAAATCTTCGAGCGAAGAAGAGGCTCTTTTTCGGCCACATTGTTATCATACTCAGAGGCATCCCCCCCCCCCCCCCCCCTCGTCCAAATAACCTCATTCGAGTTGCCATTGTTCCTGGGCATTCAAGCATGGTTGACATCCCCTTTTCAAGGTTGAATCTTCGGCAACGTGAGTTGAGCTCTTTATTCACAAAGTTATAAAACCACCTCATTCTCACGATCCAATGATGGTGTGACCGCAGTCTCACTAGCTCAACCTGGTCCCAGCGACATGTGATTAAATGTTCTTGCTCAACGGAGTACCCAGAATACACATCCTCCAAGTGCTGGTACTCAACGCTGCATGGTGGGTCTCTGATTTCCCTCCTGATTATTAAAAAGACTCCCCTGTATGTTATTGGTCGTCTGTCTCCTTCTATCTCTCTGGCTTCATTGGCAGCTAATTGGTCTGCTGCCTCATTTCCTTCGATTCCAACTTGGCTTGGAATCCACTGGATCTTTATTGTGGCTGTGTTTCACTTAAATTTGCGGTGCAAATCATTTATGTCTGAGCTTCTGCCCAGCAGTCCCTTGCAGAGGGACTGTCACTGAAGATCAGCACATTGGTTCTGCTGTGGCAATTGTTAACACTCCATTGTGCAGAAGATATCATTGTCTGGCATTCCTCGTCATAAGATGATGTGAGGAATGCACATTTTGTTCTAATGATTTCTGTTCGTGGTGGCTCACCATTCATTATCACTACTGCTGCTGCTCCACCTTCGAGGCATCCAGTGAAGACGATCCATCTGTGAAAATTGTCACATCGGCACCAACTTCCTTGATTACATCTTCTGCAGCTTCACGTACCTTTACAGGATCATCACCTTTGCTTTTCACTCCTCTCAATTCTGTCCGGGTTTTGATTTCGCCACGGGTCTCTCTCGGTGAAGCTCTCACCAGATTAATTGGCCATTGATTCTCTGCTTCAGGGAAGAGGTGGTCTGCTTGGTTGGTGCCCGCCCGAAAACAACTTTCCCGATGTTTTTAGGCTTGACTGCTTTGATCAAGGGCTTTCTTTCTAGGATGGCTGTCTGGCAATCGCTTAGCCATCTTTTCAGACTTGAGGCTTGTTCTTTTTGTATAGGTGGTGTAGTGCTCAGTTCTGGTCGTATAGTGCAGTGCTTCTGTTGGTGTTGTTTTCAGCTGACCTGATACAAGGCGGGCGATGATGATGATGATTATGATGAGGATGATAGTAATAATAATAATAATAATAATAATAATAATAATAATAATAATAATAATATTATTATTAATGATGATGATGATGATGATGATGATGATGATGATGATGATGATGCTGCTGCTGCTGCTGCTGCTGCTGCTGCTGCTGCTGCTGCTGCTGCTGCTGCTGCTGCTGCTGCTGCTGCTGCTGCTGCTGCTGCTGATGATGATGATGATGATGATGATGATGATGATGATGGGTAAAGGTTTTTGCCCTACGCAATTTTTTTTAACCTTTTCCAATTCATACAGGATACAAAAGATTACACGAGACGCTGCAGACTTTTGGAGTACTTCTCAGAAACTAACCCTTCTCCTTCTTCCGTTATACCACCTAAATTATATGTTCAGAGTAATTGGACTCCTCCTCCAGGACGTAATGCTGCCCTTGACCTTTACTGTGATAACATAGAAAAATCAGCGCTCCATAGCAGAAACACTTGCAGACAACCTTCTAAAAGAGACAATTTATCCCGTGCAGAAAGGTCGGCCCTTTGTGAACTCATTGATAACACTAATCTTACTATCCGTGAAGCTGACAAGGGAGGCTCCATTGTGGTCATGGACACCACTGACTACAACAACACCATCTCGTCTATGTTGAATAACCCTTCTCTCTATAAACCCCTCAGCTCCGACCCCACTTCCTCTCACCTTAGCGCCATTCAGGACCAAATCCGCCATCTTGAATACCTCAACGTAATATCCCCCGGATTTGTCTAAGTGTATTCTTCACGGGGATGTGTCGTGCCCCTACTTTTATGGCCTACCTAAAATCCACAAGTTAGCAAACAACAATTCTAAACTCCCTCCATTTAGAGGCATTATTTCCCAAATAAATGGTCCTACTGTCAGAGCTTCCTATTGGTTGGACAGCATTTTCAAACCCCTTGTCCCTGATTTTTGTGGTAACCACTGGGTGAAAGATAATCTCCACGTTCTCAAAAAAATAGAAACTATTAATTCTGAAAACATCCTCACTCCTGAAACTAACTTTTTGGCCATAGACGTTGTCAACATGTACAACAACATTCCACACCAAGAAGGTATTGAGGCGTGCCGCTCAGCCCTCAGAAGTCTTGCACCCTACAACACACGCCAAACTTTAGAAATTTGCAAACTGTTGAAATTAGTCCTCACCCTCAATAATTTTTCATTCAACAATCAAAATTTTCTCCAGCTGACTGGCACAGCGATGGGTACCCCAGTAGCCCCCTCTTATGCCAACATTTTTATGGCTGAATTTTGGCGCAAATACGTCTCCCCTCTTCCCAACCAACCAGTTGTACTTATGCGTTACATGGATGACATTATCGCCTTGCACAATGGTTGCTCTGAAACAACCCAACAATTTCTCACTGATCTGAACAAGGTGCACCACTACATCAAATTTACTTATTCCAGCCCAGATAAGTCCACTTCTTTCCTGGACATGTCCCTTCTCATTGCAGATAACCAAATTGAAACAGACCTGTACCAAAAACCTACCGACTCTAATCGTTACCTCCCACCTTCTTCAAACCATCCTAAACATATATTCCGTTCTGTGGTCTATAGTGGTGCCCTTAGACTACGTCGCATTTGCTCCCGTGAAAATTCTTTTAAACAACGGATAGAGGAATTCACAGTCAACCTTCTTCACAGTGGGTACCAAAAAGATTTTATAACGCCCATTATCGAGAAAGTCAGCAAATTGAACCGCACAACCCTCCTGACCTACAAACCCCTAAAGCCAAAACAGAAAAGACCATTTTTCGTCACTACTCATCACCAAAAACTACCTAAGGTACATAAAATCCACAGCCAACACAAAAGCATCTTGGAAAAATCAGACAAAATGAAAGCCTGCTTCCCCGACCCTCCTCTGATTGCACTTCGTCAGCCTCCTAATCTTGGCAACCTCCTCATTCGCACTAGAGCAGTAACACCCACGTCATCACTTCCGGTAAACCCATGTTCCCCGCCTCAAAATTATCCTTGTCAAAAACCTAGATGCAAAACATGTGCCTACATGAAAGTAACCAACTTTGTAGAAGGCCCCCACTTTAAAAGAAAACTTTCCCACAGCATCACTTGTGAAACCAAAAATGTAATCTACCTCATATCCTGTAAAGTCTGTCCAGCTCAATATGTAGGTCAAACTACCACCACACTAAGAGCTAGGTTTAATAACCATAGGTATTCAGTCCAGAAAAACTCCAGCACACCAGTTGGCCAACATTTCAACAGTCCTGGTCACAATGGTACCTCCGATTTGCAGCTTCAGGGAATTGAAATAGTCCAATATCCTACTAAAGAAAAACTTAACCAAAGAGAATCAATGTGGATTTGGAACTTGGGGTCTCACAAAATTCTCACTGGCCTTAACATCGACGAGCCCCATTTTAAGGATCTAAAATTTACAACGTAACGTACTAATCACCCCTTATGTTCCTGCAACCCCTTCCCTTTGGCCCTACCTTTCTGTTATATTCCTTACCTCCACGTACTAGTTCTCTCTCTCTCTCTCTCTCTCTCTCTCTCTCTCTCTCTCTCTCTCTCTCTCTCTCTCTCTCTCTCTCTCTCTCTCTCTCTCTCTCTCTCTCTCTCTCTCTCTCCCCCTCTTTTCCTTTTCCTCTCTCTCTGCCATCTCTGGCCCTAGTGTTTCTCTTTCTCTGGCCTTTCCGATTTGTGTTCACCGCACCCTTCTGTTATTATATTCCTTACTTCCACGCACCTTTCCACCCCCCCCCCCCCTCTCTCTCTCTCTACCACTTCTGGCTTTAGTGTTCCCTTCTCTCCGGCGATTTGTACTCACCGCTCCTTTAAATATTCAGACATTTATGTACGCACTTTAGTTTTTATAGCCTGTGTATATGATGATGATGATGGAGATATTTCCGATATTGTCCAAACCACACCAATACGTAACTTATAGTGAACACTTTGTTGCTGTGGCGTCATCACCCATATATTTTTTTCTCAAATACTATGTTCCTGATGAAGCCTTATTGGCGAAACGTTGAACTGTGAAATATATTTTTTTTTTGGAAATACAACAAGGTCTTAACTGTTTTAATACCTTCTTTATACAATGATGATGATGATGATGATGATGATGATGATGATGATGATGATGATGATGATGATTATCCTGATAACGGTACCGGCAATAATACAGTATAGTAGAATATTAGAATATAATATAATGTTTATTAATTATAATTTTATGTGATATTGTTGAGATGGAAAGCGCATAAATGTAATTTTAAAACAAAATGTAAATCTTCTTTTGCCCCCATCCATACAATTAAGATCGTTTAGGAAATAGGCCTCGACATTGTGCAGGACCAACCCGTGCTGGGAGGGATACTGCATCCCATCAGAAAGGCTGAAATACTCAATAAGAATTCTCCCCCACTCGTGAATCAAGCTCGGGTCTTCTGCGTGCCACAGCGAAGCGCCAGTACACCACAGATGCCGGTTTAGTGTCATTGTCAACATGTATTTTGCTATCAGTGAAGTGAAGTGAATAGTAATGAATGTGGCCTTGATCAACTCATAACTTGTGTCTTCGATGACACCAAAACCAGTTACATAATAGCTGTTTGAAGGTATGATTCCTTCGCAGTATCTATCCGGAGACGTCTCCGACGAACGATAGACCAATCAAAATGCTTTGGGCCTCTAGACCAAGTAAAAAATCTGGGGGGTTACAGGGGGGGGAGCATGCCCCTCTGTTTTAACCCATAATTTGATATTTTGCAGTGAAGTTTTGAAATTTTCCTGAAAATAATTGATTTGCGACAGTTTTAGTGGCTATATGTATGCAGCAAATAAGACGTAGTTTGACCCCCAAAGCAGTGCATCTGTGTGCGGGAGTGCGTCTCCGAATAGTTCCCGGGTGCTCGCCGGAGGCGTCTCCGAATATCTTCTGCCATGATGGTGAGAAAAAGCCTCTTATTTTCAGTTGACTGACAAAATCTCAAATAGACTCTACAAAATTATTGTAAGCGTTACTACATGTATGTATCTCATACTGATCCTCTGACATGAGTCTCCGCAGAGTTTGCTTGAATAACACGTATAGATTTTTCTAGCATCTGTTTTTCTTAGTAGGCCTACTGATTAAAGAGATGGATAAACTTTTAAATAATATCAATGAAAAAGTTAAATTTTTGGTCTCTAATTGGCTATTTTAGAATTATACATGACCCCACTTTACGCAAATTTGGCTGTAAAAAATCTCAATCATTTTCCTAAACAAAAGCAAGGACCTTTCTAGGTTCAATAAAATAAAAAACCCAATCATGTTAATGATTTTAATATATTTGATGGGTCTTTAGTCTTTACATTCGACCAATTCTGCTAAAACCATGCACAGCATAGTTTTTAAAGAATTTTGTTGCATACCACACAGAAACGGTGACAGATCTCAGTTCCAGGTCAGTGAGAGCTGTGCTCTAGCAACAGTAGCATAATTGAATAGATACATGTAAGCCAACATTCATTATAGTAAACATTTCCAAACTATAGAAATAAGCTTTTCATATTCGGGAGGCAGGCTGTTTTGATACCGTCTTCATTGTTGAAATAGTGCATGTTCAGAGTTTCTTCCACACTCGGCGGTGGAATCAGGTTAGGGGAAATAAATCCCGCTTTTAAAAAAAATTTTTTTTTTAGCGTATTGGCCTTGCCAAAAGGGAAACAATTCCTTCATTGTACATGACATAAGTCTGAGGTCACATGATGGGTGTTCACTTGTTAAAATAATAAAATCCTCCTCCTCGTCCTTAAGTTACTAGTACCTGTACTTGGACTTGACATTATAAAATGTGTCTCGACGCTGTGGAATCAGGCACTCGTCAATTTTTAGGTGTATGAAGCTGTCAGTACATCATCTTATTAAAGTTTGTTCATTTATCTTACTTTTACTTTACTTTTATCAGGCGCATAATATACCCTTTAGGGTGTAGCGGGAAGAAAGAGACGTCTCTCTGCCACCAGCCGCAGAGCTTGGGTCAGGGGGATGCCGTGAGCTGTTAATGTTTCCCTGACTCCATCTATCCAGGTCTTTCTCGGTCGCCCTCTGGCCTTGTTGTCATTGGATTTTTTTAAAAATGTAGGCATGTTGTGCTAGGTGGTGTGCTGGTAATCGCGTGGGATGTCCGAACCATTTGATTCTTTGGTGTTGGATGTGATGCATGACATCATTTGTGCCCACCATTTCTCTGATTACGGCGTTTCTAATTTTGTCACGCCTGGTCTTGTTTGCTGCTTTTTTAAGGCATCGCATTTCACATATTGTAATTCTTTGCTCTAATGTCTTGTTCGTGGTACGTGTTTGGCATTGATAGGTGAGTGTTGGGATGAATATGGTGTTGATCATTTTGAGTTTTGTAGTCATGGGGATGTTAGGATGTTTCAGTAGTGGAGTAAGCTGGTAACTAACCTTATTAGCCCTTTGTACTCCTGTTTCAATTTCTCTGTTCAGTCGCTCTTCCTCTGTGAATATACTTCCGAGGTACACTGTACTTGAATTCTTGGACCAGTCTGAGACTGTTGTTGTTGATGTGTATCCTGAATGGTCCTGGCTTTCTGCTTACTTTCATTGTCTCTGTTTGGTTGATGTTGATCTTTATGTCGTAGTTGTTACATTCTTCGTTTAATCTGGTGGTGTGGTGTTGGAGACTTCATTCATCTTTGTATGTCAGGCTTTGGTCATCAGCGAAGAGGGCGTCTGATTCTTTTGGCCTCTTTTGTCATTCTATCCATATTTATGATAAATAGATGAGGTGATAGGACACGGCCTTGTCTTATAATGTAATCTATCTATCTATCTATCTATCTATCTATCTATCTATCTATCTATCTATCTATCTATCTATCTATCTATCTATCTATCTATCTATCTATCTGTCTGTCTGTCTGTCTGTCTGTCTGTCTGTCTGTCTGTCTGTCTGTCTGTCTGTCTGTCTGTCTGTCTGTCTGTCCGTCTGTCTGTCTGTCTGTCTGTCTGTCTGTCTCTCCATCCGTCCGTCTGTCCGTCCATCCATCCATCCACCCACCCACCCATCCATCCACCCATCCATCTATCTATCTATCTATCTATCTATCTATCTATCTATCTATCTATCTATCTATCTATCTATCTATCTATCTATCTATCTATCTATCTATCTATCTATCTATCTATATTATTATTATTATTATTATTATTATTATTATTATTATTATTATTATTATTATTATTGTGTGTGTGTGCGTGTGTGTGTGTTTGTGTGTGCGCGCGCGCGCGCGTGAGTGTGTGTGTGTGTGTGTGTATGTGTGTGTGTGTGTGTGTGTGTGTGTGTGTGTGTGTGTGTGTGTGTGTGTGCGCGTGCGTGTGCGTGCGTGCGTGAACCCTTACCCTAACCCTAACCCTAACAGCTCAGGTTTAGTTTTAGTGAGAGTTCTACGGCACTTGCAACACAAATAGGTCTTATGATAAGTGTCAAAGATAAGAGGTGTTATTCAGGGGCCAAGGCTGGCGTGTTTGACAGGTAAAGAGTAACAACATAGAGCCTACAAAGAAAAAAAGGAGGATAGATAGGGACAGAAGATGTTTGATAGAAAAGAAGGATCAAACCACACCAGAGCGCCTGCCAACAACCTATTAAAGGCTGGGTGCCAAACCTTTACAACGACAGTATAAAGAGTAAGAAATCCCCTTCAAGTGTTTTCTTTGAACGAGTTTTTTTTGTTGTTGGTGCCTTTGTGTGAATATGTGGGTTCTCATAAATCTGTGGAATACCAGTTGGTCACGGATGAATGACGGCGCCCATGATCTGCAACGACAACAAAACCTCTTCG